CCATCAACAAAGTCAGTCAATCTATTTCAAATGATTGAAGTAATACAAAATGCCTCGTCTGGTCTTAATGGAAATAAATCAGAAATCAGTAACAGAAGAAAGTTCAGTAAATTACAAGTATTTGAAAATTCAGCCACAAACGCATAAATAAGCAATGAGAGAAAAAAATCACAAGGGAAATTTAAAAATACTTTGAGCTGAATAAAATACATCAAAACATATCAAAAGTTACAGAATGAAGCTAATACAATATTTTTAAATGTATTTCTATAAATGCCTAATAAAAAGGATTAAATGAATGACCCAATTTTTCAACTAAAGAAATATAAAAAGCAAGAGTAAACTAAACCAAAATCAAGCATAAAAAATAACAATTTGATCAGACATTTAAAAGTAGACAATAAAAATGTAATTAAAAAATCCGGCCGGGGCAAAAGAAACAGTCACTAGAGTGAATCGGCAACCAACAGAATGGTAAAAAATTTTTGCAGTTTACCCATCTGACAAAGGGCTGACATCCAGAATTTACAAAGAACTCAAACAGATTTACAAGAAAAAAACAAACAAGCCCATTTGAAAGTGGGCAAAGGATATGAACAGACACTTTACGAAAGAAGACATATATGAGGCCAACAATCATATGAAAAAATGCTCATCGTCACTGGTCATCAGAGAGATGCAAATCAAAACCACATTGAGATACCATCTCATGCCAGTTAGAATGGCGATCATTAAAAAATCTGGAGACAACAGATGCTGGAGAGGATGTGGAGAAAAAGGAACACTTTTACACTGTTGGTGGGAGTGTAAATTAGTCCAACCATTGTGGAAGACAGTGTGGCAATTCCTCAAGGCCTTAGAAATAGAAATTCCATTTGACCCAGCAATCCCATTACTGGGTATATACCCAAAGGACTATAAATCATTCTACTATAAGGACACATGCATAGGCAGCACTGTTTACAATAGCAAAGACCTGGAATCAACCCAAATGCCCATTGATGATAGACTGGATTGGGAAAATGTGGCACATATACACCATGGAATATTATGCAGCAATCAGAAATGATGAGTTCATGTCATTTGTAGGGACATGGATGAATCTGGAGAACATCATTCTCAGCAAACTGACACAAAAACAGAAAATGAAACACCGCATATTCTCACTCATAGGCGGGTGATGAAAAATGAGAACACATGGACACAGAGAGGGGAGTACTAAACACTGGGGTCTATTGGGGGAAAGGGGGAGGGCCAGTGGGAGGGGGAGGTGGGGAGGGATAGCCTGGGGAGAAACGCCAAATGTGGGTGAAGGGGTGAAAGCAAACAAAACACACTGCCATGTGTGTCCCTATGCAACTGTATTGTATGCTCTGCACATGTACCCCAAAACCTAAAATGCAATAAAAAAATAAGAAAAAAAAAAAAAAATCCGGCCGGACGCGGTGGTTCAAGCCTGTAATCCCAGCACTTTGGGAGGCCGAAGCGGTTGAATCACGAAGTCAGGAGATCGAGACCATCCTGGTCAACATAGTGAAACCCTGTCTCTACTAAAAAATATACAAAAAATTAGCTGGGCATGGTGGCGGGTGCCTGTAATCCCAGCTACTCAGGAGGCTGAGGCAGGAGAATTGCCTGCACCCAGGAGGCAGAGGTTGCCATGAGCCGAGATCGCGCCATTGCACTCCAGCCTGGGTAACAAGAGCAAAACTCCGTCTAAAAAAAAAAAAAAAAAAAAAAAAAAAAATCCATGAAACTTAAATTTTGTGCTTTGAAAAACTGACAAAGTTTTATCTGTACTGAACAAGAGAATTAGACAAGACTCAAAGAACTAAAATTAGAAATACAAAAGATAGCATTACTACATAACTTAGATTAAGTTAATCAAATTAAATTGATTAGAAGGGAAGACCAAAATCAATTATATTACAAAATTAGATAGCCTAGATGAAATGGACAAATTACAAGAAAAATATATTACCAAAACTGACCCAAGAATAAAAATAGTCTGAAAAGACTAATAACAAGTATAACAGATATAAAACAAGAAAATAATTGTTAATAAGATGGTTTCTCAGGTGAATTCTACTAAATGTATAAGTTAGAATTAATATTTATGCTTCAAAAACTCTTCCTAATTTGCAGGACGAGGGAGTATTTCCTAACTTATTCTATGAGGCCAGTATTACCCTGATTTCAAAAACAGAGGACATCCTAAGAAAAGAAAAACTACAGATTAACATTATTTATGAATTTCTACATAAAATATTCAACAAAAGTACCAACAAACTTAATTGAATGATTTTTAAAATAATTACATAGTATAACTAAGGGGAATTTATTCAAGCAATTCAAAAATGTTCAAAATACAAAAACAGTCAGTTTAAGACAATTTATTAATAGACTATAAGACAAAAACTCAATAGAGACAAAAAATTTGATAAAATTCGACTTTTTTGTAATAAAATTACTCAATGAAAATAGAAAGGAAGTACGCACCTATGAAAAACCTACAGATACTATCATAATAGTTAAATAGTTAAAGCTTTTTTTCCTAAGATTACATAAAAGATAAAAATGGCCAATCTTGCCACTTTAATTAAACATTGTAATGGAGGTGATAGTAAGAGAAATTAGTCAAGAATATAGAAAAAATGTATACAGATTGAAAAGAAGAAATAAAACTGTAGATGACAAAATCTTTTATATATAACATTTTAAGGTGTATACACACATATCAAACACACACAATTAGAGCTAATAAACACAAATATCAAGATTGTTAGATACAAGACGAATAAGCAAAATCAATTATATCTCTATAAACTAGCAATAGGCAGGGTCCAGTGGCTCATGTGTGTAACCCTAGCACTTTGGGAGACTGAGGCAGGTGGATTATATGAGGTCAGGAGTTCAAGACCAGCCTGAACAACATGGTGAAACTCTGTGTCTACTAAAAATACAAAAATTAGCTGGGCATGGTGGTATGCACCTGTATGTAATCCAAGCTACTTGGGAGGCTGAGGCAGAAGAATCACTTGAACCCAGAAGGCAGAGGTTGCAATGAGCCGAGATTCTGTCACTGTACTCCAGCCTGGGAGATAGAGTAAGACTTTGTCTCAAAAACAAACAAACAAACTAGCAATAAGTAATTCATCAATAAAATTAATTAAATAATTTCATTTTTAATAATATCAAAAATATATTTAGGAATAAATATAATAAAAAGTACAAGATTTTGTACTGAAATGTAAAAAGCCATTGAAAATTTTTGATAAGATCCAAATAAATGAATAAAATATTCCATGGTCATGAATTGGTACACAATATTACTAAGATCAAAATGCTGCCCAAATTGATCTACATATTCAATAAGCTCCCTATCAATATCCCAATATGCTTCTCTTTTGTTTGCAGAAATTGAGAAGCTAATTATAAAATTAATATGCAATGAACCCAGAATAAACAAAACAATTTTGAAAAAGCAGAACAAAAAGGTGTCACATTTCCCAATTTTAAAACTTACCTAAATTTTCAGTAATCAAGATAGTATTTGATAAGGCATAGGAAAAACATAGGTCAATGGAATAGAATTGAAAGTCCAGAAGTAAAGTCATGCATTAACAGCCAATTGATTTTTGACAAGATCTTCAATATGGAAAAAACAATGCTTTCATTAGAGAGTACTGGGAAAACTACATACATGCATAAGAATAAAGCTGGACCCCTACCTTATATCATATAAAAAATTAATTCAAAATGGATCAAAGACCCCAATGAAAGAGCTAACACTGTAAAACTTCTATAAGAAAATATAGGTATATATTTTTTGTGAACTTGGATTGGGCAATGGCTTCTCAGGCACCTAAGGCAGAAACAACCAAATAAAAGATAAAGTGGACTTCATAAAATTAAAATCTTTTGTTCTTTAAATCAGCTATAAAGTGAAAAGGCAGTATGCAAAATGGAAATAATTTTTTGAAAATCATTATATATGATGTGTGTAATTGGCAGAACATATAAATAACTCTTACAACTCAACAACAACAGAAAATGTCCAAAAGATTTGAATAGTCATTCCTTCAAAGAAGATATACAAATAACCAGTTAGCACATAAACAGATGCTTAATATCATTAGTCATCAGGAAAATGCAAATCAAAATTTTGAGATACTCTTTCACACCCATGAATAAGACAATAACAATAACATGTTTTGATGCCAATGTGGAGAAACGGGTAAACACACACACTACTTATGAAACTGTAGATTTATACAAGCATTTGGGGAATAGTTTGGCACTCTCAAAAAGTTAAAAATAGTGTCAGACTCATTTCTGTAGTCCCAGGAACTCAGAAGGCTGAAGTTGGAAGATCACTTGAGACCAGGAGATGAAGGCTGTAGTGAGCCAAGATTGTATCACTGAACTCCAGACTGCCTGACAGAGATAAAACCCCAACTCTTAAAAAAAAAAAAAAACTATATGACATTCCAATACCTCTTCTAGTTATATACCTTTAAGAAGTGAAACATGTTCGCAACAAAACTTGTACCCAAATTTTTAAAGCACTGTTGGTAAGAGCTGAAAAATAGAAAAAAAAAAAAAAATTTGGATCAATCAAGTGATGAATGGATACACAAAAAAAAGTGGTATAGGAGGGTCATATGGTGTTTTTTTTTTTTTTTTTTTTTTTTAAGAGTTGGGATTTTGCTCTTTCAGGCAGTCTGGAGTTCAGTGATACAATCATGGCTCACTGCAGCCTCCATCTCCTGGTCTCAAGTGATCTTCCCACTTGAGCCTCCCGAGTTGCTGGGACTACGGACATGAGCCACTGTGCCTGACTCTAACTATGTTTACCCTTTTTTTGCCGGGCGCAGTGGCTCACGCCTGTCATCTCAGCCCTTTGGGAGAATGAGGTGGGTGGATCACTAGGTCAGAGGTTCGAGATTAGCCTAGCCAACATGGTGAAACTCCATCTCTAGTAAAAATAAAAAATTAACCTGGCATGTCAGTGGGTGCCTGTAATCCCAGCTACTTGGGAGGCTGAAGCAGGAGAATTGCTTGAAACCAGAAGGCTGAGGTTGCAGTCAGTCGAGGTTGTGCCACTGTACTCCAGACTGGTCAACAATAGCAAAACTCTGTTTCAAAAAAAAAAAAAAAGTAATAAAATAATGATACCTGCTAAAACATGCATGAAGATTAAGAATATTATATTCAGGAAAGCAGTAAGGTGCAAAAAAGCCAAGTATGCATCTATGTTTATGAACTGCCAAGAATAGGTAAATCCCTGGAGGTAAGTCTTATTACTGGTTACTAGAGGATGGGGCAGAAGGGAATGAAAGTGACTGACTGCTACTTTGCTGCAATTTTGGGGGGGCTGATGAAAATGTTCTAAAATTAGATAATGGTGATGGTTGTACAAACTTAATAAATATGTTTTTAAAAAACAGTGAATTGTATTTAAAAAGATAAAGATTAGAATATGTAAACTATATCTCAAAAATCAACTTTATTCTGGTATAATTTACATAGAACAATTGTACATTTTTAGTACACAAAATGTTGACAGATACATACACTTCTGTAACCAACACCCCAGATGTCTCCATCATCCCAGAAAGTTTCCTTTTACCACTTTGTAGTGAAAATTTAATCACCCTCTGGGCTTTATACCACATATTACATTTGCTCAACTTTCAATTCTTAAAGATTATATAAACATGTATATCCTCCATTTATTTAGTTTTAAAATCTCTTTTATGAATGTTTTGTGGTTTTCAATGTGTAGGTCTTGCACATCTATTATTAAATTTCTCTAAATATTTCATAGTTTTGATGTCATTTTTAAACACTGTATTTGTAAATTAACTTTCTGATTGTTTAATGCTAATATATAAAAATTGAATTGTTTTTATTTTATATATTTATCTAGTATCCTGTAGCCTTCTTAACTCAGTTATTAGTTCTTATGGCCTCTTTTACTGGGAAAGATTCCATAGAAGTTTTTACATAGATGCTTATGTTATCTATAATTAAAGACAGTTTTATTTATTTCTTTCCCAATCCACAGGCATTTTATTTCTTTTAAATCTATTGACTCATAGTGGGCTTTTTTGTTTTCATACTAAAACTTTGTGTATCTTGTTATATAGTCCATGTGTGCTTGCAAAGAACTACTATTGGGTGTAGTTTTCTGTAAATGTCAATAAGGTCTGTTACACAGTTTTTTCCAGTGACTTTGTTAGTTATCCTATAATTTAAGAGGAGATACATTGAAATTGCTAACCATAATTGTACATTTTCGCTCTATCAGCTTTTTTCCATTGTTTACTTCTTGTATTTTAAAGGTCTTTTATTAGGTTTATTAAGATAACTCCACTAATGAAATCATTATGACCCCTAGATAAATTGATTGCTTTATTACTATGGAATAACTTTCTTCATCTTTAGTAATATGGTCTTGCTTTGTCTATCATTAATATAGCCACTCTAGATTTGTTTTTTAATTAGTGGTAGTGTTTTTCTCTCTATAATTTTAACTTATCTGTGGCTTGTTTTTTATCTATTATTTTAACTTACCTGTGGCTTTATATTTAGTTTCTTGAAGATACCACATAGTTGGATGCAGTGGTTTTAAAACATGATTATAAATTATTTTATATTATTCCTTTCAAGAGTTGGAGTCTAAAGCTCTTCTTCTTTAGTATAGACTGTACTTAGTTACCCATTTTGAACAAATTGAATAAAGTAGACATGGTGGTGTGAGATTTTAGAAACTAGGTCATAAAAGAAACTGAAGCTTCCTTCTTGCTCTTTCTTATATAACTCATTCTGAGGAAACTATTTGTTTTATCACAATGACATTCAGGGAGCATTGTGGAAAAATTCATGTATTAAGGACTTGAGGAACCCTGCCAACAAGTGGATTCAGCTCCTGTCCAGCCTTTCAGGGATGATAGTACTGGTCAAGAAGTCAACAGCAACCTCACAAGTCTGTGAGCCAAAACCTTCCAGTACAGCTGCTTCCAGTTTTCTGACCCAGGAAAATATGTGAGATATAATGTTACAATTGTTGTTTTAACAGGCTAAGTTTGAGGGTAATTTATTATACAGCAATACATGCTAAAGCAGTGTTTTTCTATTTTATTCAACATAATAATTTTAATATTTAATTGGTTTCTTCAGACCATTGGCATTTAGTGTGATTATCAATATAATTGGGTTTAATCCACCATACTGCTAGTTGTGGTCTCTTTCTCCCTCTTGTTGCAATCCATGAACATGATATACACCTTTATCATTTAGATCTTTCACTTCCCTCAGCAGTTTTTTTCTTGTCAGACTATAAGTTTCCAATATTTTCAATAAATTCATTCCTAAGTAGCATATTGGTTTTGACAATTGCAAACATTATTTTTAACTTGTATTTTTCAACCCTTTGTTTGTGGTATATAAAACTACAATTGAATTTTATGTATTGTCTATACATACAGATGTCTTAAAGTAACATGAAGATAGAAAAAAAGTTAATTTCTTTTATGTCACTCATTTTTCAATAAGTTTGTTATTTTTGTTTGAATTTTCTGTCGAGGAAAATTTATTGTTTTAGTTCTGTGTCCTGACAGCATAAAATAAATGTTGTAAGGACCTTCTAAAAACAGTGATCCTGCTTTGCATCATTATGACTTAAAGAAATAGGTCAGTGGGAAGGATTTCAGTTTAGATGGTGACAGGTGTGATAGCTCTATATTTGGTTAGCCTGTTATCTGATATTACCCAAACTAAGTCATAAAATGTTATAACCTGCCTATATGTAGAAATGATATAGTCTTCATTCTTTGTTTGAGGAAGCACTGGCCCATTTCATGTTGAATGTATGGCAATGTGGAATCAAAATAGATATGCAAGTATATTTAGTATATATCTTAAGACATACATCTCTTATTTGTTTTATTGCCAAAAAAGTGAGAAGTATATGTAATTTCTTCTTATTGTCCTAACTCCAAAAGTTCTGAACAATTATCTTCAGGCATTGTCATTTGCCTGAGAATCAAAAGGACAGGCACTTTATTAAAAAGAAGGTTCCTATTCGTGTAGTAGCCAGTATAGAGAGAGCTATTTTTCCTAGGCAATATTTATTTTTTCCAAAGATTAAATGAGCATTTATTTCTTAATAACTTGGAAAACATTTTTGTGATTAAAAAGCAATATTTCTCACCACTCCTATTCAATATAGTTTTGGAAGTTCTAGCCAGAGCAATCAGGCAAGAAAAAGAAAGAAAGGGTATTCAATTAGAAAAGGAGGAAGTAAAATTGTCTCTATTTGCAGACGACATGATAGTATATCTAGAAGACCCCACTGTCTCAGCCCAAAATCTCCTGAAACTGATAAGCAACTTCAGCAAAGTCTCAGGATGCAAAATCAATGTACAAAAATCACAAGCGCTCCTATACACCAATAACAGACTTAAAAAGAGCCATATCAAAAACGAACTGCCATTCACAATTGCTACAAAGAGAATAAAATACCTAGGAACATAACTAACAGGGAATGTAAAGGACCTCTTCAAGGAGAACTACAAACCACTGCTCGGCGAAATAAGAGAGGACACCAACAGATGGAAAAACATTCCATGCTCATGGTTAGGAAGAATCAATATTGTGACAATGGCTATACTGCCCAAAGTAATTTACAGATTCAATGCTATCCCCATCAAGCTACCAATGGCCTTCTTCACAACACTTGAAAAATCCACCTTAAACTTTATATGGAACCAAAAGAGAGCCGGCATAGCCCAGTCAATTCTAAGCAAAAGAACACAGGAAGAGGCATCACACTACCAGACTTCAAACTATACAACAAGGCTACAGTAATCAAAACAGCATGCTACTGGTACCAAAACAGAGATATAGACCAATGGAACAGAACAGAGGCCTTGGAGGCAACGCCACACATCTACATCCATCTGATCTTTGACAAACCTGACAAAAACAAGCAATGGGGAAAGGATTCCCTGTTTAATAAATGGTATTGGAAAAACTGGCTAGCCATGTGCAGAAAGCAGAAACTGGACCCCTTCCTGACACCTTACACTAAAATTAAATCCAGATGGATTTAAGACTTAAGCATAAGACCTAACACCATAAAAACCCTAGAAGAAAATCTAGGCAAACCATTCAGGACTTAAGCATAGGCAAGGACTTCATGACTAAAACATCAAAAGCATTGGAAACAAAAGCCAAAATAGACAAATCTGACCTAATAAAACTCCACACCTTCTGCACAGCAAAAGAAACAGTCATTAAAGTGAATTGGCAACCAACAGAATGGAAAAAAAATTTTGCAATTTACTCATCTGACAAATGGCTAATATCCAGAATCTACAAAGAACTAAAACAGATTTAGAAGAAAAAAACAAACACGCCCATTCAAAAGTGGGTGAAGGATATGAACAGACACTTTACAAAAGAAAGACATATATGAGGCCAACAAACATATGAAAAATGCTCATTATCACTCGTCATTAGAGAAATGCAAATCAAAACTACATTGAGATATCATCTCACAACAGAATGGCGATCATTAAAATATCTGGAGACAACAGATGCTGGAGAGGATATGGAGAAATAGTAACACTTTTTCACTGTTGGTGGAAGTGTAAATTAATTCAAACATTGTGGAAGACAGTGTGGCAACCTCAAGGACCTAGAAATAGAAATTCCATTTGACTCAGCAATTCCATTACTGGGTATATATCCAAAGGATTATAAATCATTCTACTAGAATGACACATGCACATGAATGTTTATTGCAGCACTGTTTCCAATAGCAAAGACTTGGAATCAACCCAAATGCCCATCGATGATAGACTGAACAGGGAAAATCTGGCACATATATACACCATAGAATACTCTGCAGCCATAAAAAACGATGAGTTTGTGTCCTTTGTAGGGACATGGATGAACCTGGAAACTATCATTCTCAGCAAACTGACACAAGAACAGAAAATCAAACACCACATGTTCTCACTCATAGGTGGGTGTTGAACAATGAGAACACATGGACACAGAGGGGAGCATCACACACTGGGTTCTGTGGGGGGGAACTAAGGGAGGGACAGTGGGGGGTGGTGAGTTG